AAAAAAAAAAAAAAAAAAAAAAAAAAAGGAAACCTAACGACAACACCTTTTATCCCAATACACCGGTGAGTGAGACAGACCCACTCCTGCGTGGCCACCGCTACTCACATGATGTTGGCCTTGTGCACGGCCGTCACCTTCTTCCTGTTGTGCCTCATGGCGAAGTCGAAGGCAAACTTGGCGATGCGCATCGAGTTGTCGCGCGTAACGATCTTCAGGCTCTCCACCACCCCGGGGACGCTCTGGGAACGACCAACGGGAACAGCAAGAGACAGAAAACACATGATATTAGATTAAGTAGGAGTTTTTACTGCACTTTCACAAAAAACATATGTTTAGATTAAGTAGGAGATTTTACTGCACCTTCACAAAAAACATACCTGTTTAGATTAAGTACCAGTTTTACTGCACCTTCACAGAAAACATATATATCTGTTTAGATTAAGTACGAGTTTTACGGCACCTTCACAAAAAACATATCTGTTTAGATTAAGTATGAGTTTTGTATGATGGCTCTTTTTGTCTATGCACACGGTCAATTTAGCTTAAGATGGTCTCAACGTTGTCTTCATGCAGCTTCTTTCATGGATAATTCTTCCTACGTTTGAAGCGCAGATTCTGTCGCAGTGCTTGCATGTCGGTGAGTTTTACGGCACTCGCAACATAACTCGGTCACGAGAGTGCCAAAGACCATTTTTTTCCTTCTCCGTTTTTACAGGCCCATCCACACAGTCTACATCATTTAGGAAGCAAGGTCTGACTCTGCCAGTCAGGGCCAACCCAGGCTGAGAGGGATACAACATCCCAGCACAAAGAGAGAGTTGTTTGACAAAAATCCTCATCCCTCAGGAATCCAACTCGGGTCTCCTGCATGCCTCTCAGCGAAGCGCCCACCCGCTTCATAACAAGGTCCGGTTGAGAACAGAGAGGAATAGCTGGGTCATGTTTTAGTATTGAGACAGACACGACTGGTTTTGTTTTTCGGTATTTTTTTTTTAGGGCGGGGGAGGGGGGGGTTACTTCACAATTTGGTCATGTACGTGCTGAATACTAATTTTCTATTTTTTAATTCCCCATATATTTCATGACCTCCAATGACACAAATTGAGACAGCGAGAGAGACAGAGTGATATAAAGACTCGGAGAGAAAGAGAGAGAGAGAGAGACAGAGAGAGAGAAAGAGAACAGAGAGAAGAGTGTAACCACCCACCTCGTGCTCCAGGGCGCTGTACTCCCCCTCCGTCTGCTCGCGGATGATGGCAAAGTCAAGGTTGTTGTGCCTCGTCTTGAAGCCCGGCAGACTCCGCACCCACACCACGTTGGCAAACAGATCCAGCTCTCGCCTGCGAGGGGAACGAACAAACATCTTGTCAGCCAAGAGCAACGCTTGTTTTAGCTTTAGTAGAGGTTTTACGGCGCTCGCAACTGCATAAGGTCATATGAGCACCAGAAGATTAGAGGTGTTACAAGAGAGTAACAAACATTTTAAAAAAGAAGGGGAGATCAGGACGAAAGATGTTTGATAGGAAAGAAGAAGCAAACCACACCAGAGCACCTGCCAACCACCCACAATGCTTGTTTGTACTTTTGTTTGTTTGCTTGTTTGTTAAAGTAAAGTAAGGGCAACAGGACTCTTGGGGGGTTTTTTGTTCGTTTATTTAAGTCAAGAGAAGCACTCTTTTTACATAAAGGTAGCCTCTATTCTATAAACTTGTCTCACAATTCAATAGGAAAAGTTTGGTGTGTGTGGGATTCACCCGTGAGAAATTATGGCTGGTGTGTGAATTCCTCACGTAAAAAGTATGGTGTGGAATGGTGGGATTACCCCATGAGAAAGTGTGAGTGTACGTGTGTGTGTGTGGGAGTGGGAGTGTGTGTGTGTGGGAGTGTGTGTGTGTGTGTGTGGGAGTGTGTGTGTGTGTGTGTGGGGGGGGGGATTCCACTATGAAAAAAAGTATGGTGTGTGTGTGCGCGCGTGCCCGTGTGTGTGAGTGGGATTCCCCCATCAAAAAAAAGTATCATTCGCGCACGTGTGTGTGTGGGGGATTCCCCTATGAAAAAAAGTATGGTGTGTGTGACCCCCCCCCCTCCTCTACCTGATCTTCTTGGTAGAGGTTTTACGGCGCTCGCAACTGCATAATATACTACCTGATCTTCATGTTGAGCGTCTGCAGCACTCCGCCCTTGAGGTTTGTGGGCGTGGTGATGATGATGATGATGATGATGATGATGTGTGTGTGTGTGTGTGCGTGTGCGTGTGCGTGTGTGTGTGTGTGTGTGTGTGTGTGCGCGCGTGAGAGACCCCCCTCCCCACAATCTTCCTCTACCTGATCTTCATGTTGAGCGTCTGCAGCACTCCGCCCTTGAAGGTTGTGGGTGTGGTGATGATGCCCTTGAGCCCCACCCTGTTGCGCCGGAACGACTCCACCACGTCCTCGATGCTCGCGCTGCGGTTAGGCTGCACCTCGCTGAGGGGACAGTTTGAGTTTAGTTTTAGAAAGAGGGGTTTTTTTATAGTAGAGGGTTTTACGGTGCTCGCAACTGCATAAAATCATATGAGCGCCAAAGGGTGGGTGTCAACAGAGAAGTCTTTACAAGGAATCAGACTTACTCTGCTCACCTCTCTAGCTTCAACAGCACAAAGTCTGCTTCGACTATCAAGGCACCCCAAAAATAGCAGGTCACAAGAGAGTGACAAACATACAAAAGAAGTAGAGGAAAAAATGACAATAGTAAGGATTAGGAAAGAAAAAACAGCAGTTCCCTGTTGTAGATCAGGCACAGTTATGAGCGTGACATGAATCAGCCCATTTACAATTCTAGTGTTCTTGAACGAGAAATGTACCCCCTTTGGGGATGGCCTAAAGACACTATAGTCAGTGGCACTACCCCGGGGAGCAGAAAGAGTTTTACGGCACTTGCAACACAATTAATGACAATAATAATGACACAACAATGACAATATTTATTCACCTCGCAGGGAGAGATTTGTCTTGGTCATTAACAAGGGCAGTAGACGTTAAAAAAGTTAGATCCAAAGGTGCACTCATGCATACACACAACAAGACAGGACATTCGTAAATTACATGTCTCACGTGCTGGGACAACCCGCTCCATAAAACTAATTCTCTCTCTCTCTCTCTCTTTTCTCTCTCTCTCTCTCCCTCTCTCTCCCTCTCTCTCTCTCCCTCTCCCTCTCCCTCTCTCTCTCTCTCTCTCTCTCTCTCTGTTTTTATTGTATTTTTTTAGAGACTGGATAGACTTTGAATGGCCCAGGCTTTAGGAACTGTTTCAGGACAAATTGGAAATATACCTGTGTTCCGCGGAACTTCTGTACATTTATTCTGAATTTATCTTGCTTTTCTTTGTTTGGCTGGAGTAATGCCACATTAAAGTATGCATTTTTTTTAAAACAACTGAACAATATGTTCATTTTATTGCATAAATATAAAAAGTATCGGGTGGTCTTAAACTTTTGGCAACCATTGTAATATACACGTCTGTTATTATATACAAGGCTGTTATTGCATAATATACAAGTCTCTTATTGTATAATATACAAGTCTCTTATTGTGTAATATACAAGTCTCTTATT